GTCCCGCTGTGGCTGATAAGTAGGAGGAGATTCTTGAGGGCGAACTGGTTGACTACCTTCACCTCTGACCACTGGCCTCCTACTCTGCTATTTCTCCACTGCAAGTGCCCGTTGATATGCCTCAGAAACCGTGCACAATGAATGAAGGCTGAGAACATCCTGTAGGGGCTGCCTTAATCCCCCCAAATACCGTGCTACCATCTGCTCCTCCGTCTCAGATAAATCATTCCGAGCCACCAGCTGATAGAATTCCTTAGGATAATCATTGATTGATCTTGCACCTTGCCTTAGTGAATGGAGCCTCTGAAACAAGGTTTGAGTGTAGCCGAAAGGGAGGAAGTGCCCTTTCATCTTCTTCTTCATCTTCTCCCAGTCAATAATTTTGGATTTCCCCTATCGCTCTCGTGAACGCTTCAACTGTTCCCACCATGCAGATGCTTTACCTTTGAGTTTGATGGAGACCAGTTTCACTTTGACACGATCTGAAACCTCCTTATATTCAAAAATCCACTCCACTTCATTCAGCCAATCAATGAATCCTTCAACTTGCAACGTACCATAAAACTCGGGCAGATCCACTTTGAAACCGAGATCCACATGACGATCCTCCCATCCATGATGCTCCCAAACTCAAGCACGATGGTGATATGGGTTTTCGAAATTGGTATCGAAATCGTGACCCTCCACATCATGATTACTGAACTCCTGCTCCGCCAAACGTTGGGTTAACTCTGCAACTTATCTCTGCAAATTTTCAATCGTCACATCCTGAATATTACGATCACGATGTGGGACTTCCTCAATCGGAACCTGCCCTCGACGACCACGACCACCAACCATTATAACTGATTGAATTTATCTCCCAAGAAGATGCTGACGCTCTGATAACAACTAACGCCGGATAAGATAATGATTATCCTATTGGCTTGTTGTAGCAGATGATTCGTAAGAAAGAAATGAATGAAAACGCCCAAAAACCAGATAAAATACTTTGAAATCAACTTAATATTATTAATAATGCAGAATGACCAAAATTAACCCACAAGCCAGGTTAAATAGTTGTAAAATACGAAATTATAGGAAAATTACAAAAAATGGCAAAATCCCAAAATTACACAAGAATAAAATATTGAGTAAAAGAAGTAGGTTGCCAAAAATTTGACTCAATTCGAGTTTTCTAACATATGGAAAAAGGGAAACGAAATATTACCATAAATAGCAAAAAATAACAAAAAATTGAATTTCGGAAAGGAAAACAGCGAATTTCAGGCTCGAAATTGATGTCCACTGAGTGTAGCTAGGTGGCCACAACATGCGCGTCGAAAAGAGCTGTCCAAATTGGGGTCATAATAGCGATTCTAATAACTGTAGCCAAAGTTAAGGCTAAATTACAAAAAACGTGTCAAATTCCCCAAATCAAGGAAATAATTGCGATTCACTTCCCATTTTTGCTCCGATCCGCTATCTCATGGTATCTCAACGTCATCATCGTGCTATTTGACAAATCAGCATCACTCAACTCGGATCTTCTTGTATCAGGTACCAAGGAAGGGCTAATATATAGTTACAGGGAGAAAACCTTGAGGGAAAATCTTATACTTTTGAAGGATTATTGATCTAAGTTTCGACTTTACAAGTGATTTAACTAACCTTTATAAGATGGGCAGAACCTATAAAGTTTACAGATGAACAGACGCTGCAAAACAATATCTAACATTTCTAAATCATTCATGTTCTCTAACTCTACCTAAAAACATCAAATTCTTGAAATCTTAGGGGGAAAATATTCAATAAAAATCATGGATAAACTGGGCTTGTCTTTTATTGATGTCTTTGTTCAGAATGCATCCATTGAGCTTCTTGATATCAAAACAATAGTTTGAGTAGCATGTAGTTGCAGACACTGCCAAATGTTGTGATTTTGATAAGATAGTAAAGAAAATGGGTTTGAGTTGAAGAAACAAAAGAACCTAAATTGTTAGAGATCAATTTACTCTATGCTTCAGCATCAAAATAGATTTTGTAAGGGCGATTTTTTATTTTTAAGAATGTATGATAAAAAGTTTAGAAAGTGTAAAATTATTCTTCATATAAATGTTTTTTTTTTAAAGCCTTGTTTGATTTTCATTTTTTTCCAAAATGCATTTTTCTCCATCTTCTTTTTAACCACACGATTTTCAATAAAATAACTTTTTAAAATTTTTTAACCATATATTCTCCATCAAATCACTATTTCAAAATGCATCTTTTGCAAAAAATGAGCATCAAACAGACTCATAAATGTTAGTTGAAAATTATAAAATATTAAAATTCGTGACATTCACTAGCTTTGCTCACCTATCAATCAGTTCATTTTGACTTATTTACAAATAGAACTATCTTTGAATACTTCTCAAACATACTTTTATCTTCAATAAGTGTTGTACTTATTAACATAAATACATAAAGAATAAAGCTCCCTGTCCCAGCTTGGGGACAAGGTTGGCGACCCTGTCCCTGACCTTGTCCCAGCTTGGCCGATGCCCCTCCAATAGGGGGAGTGCCACTGACTCTGTCCTCAAGCCGGGAGAGGGAGCAGGGTTGATACATAAATTTTATTGAAAACAATATTTACTAAGCCTTTGTTTGAGCCCTATGTTCTCGTCAAAATATATTCTTAAACAGTTATTCGATATCATTTCAATCACACATTTTTTAATAAAATAATATTACACATAAATTCAAAATATTTTCGTATTTTTTAACCACACATCCTCCATCGCAACACTATTTCAAAATGCATTTTTTGATAAAAATGGGGCTCAAACGACATTTTTAGACAACATACTACATAAATTTAATGGTCGTTACTATATTATACACACTAAGATGCCCCGAGCAATATCTTGCGATCTAAAATTGATCTTGTTAATCGAGTATAAAAATAATTATACAAATAGCTACATAGTAAGTTTTATATCAATAAAGCTTCGAGTATTTGCTATCATAAAATTATGTGGAACAAACTAGAGAGAAATTATTTAAACAATAGTTAAACACTACCATCCTCTTCTAGGGATGGCAACCAGGATTGTCCTTGCTCGACAGAGATTTTCGCTCCCATCTTGCTTAGGATGGTGCGAGACTTGACACTCGTTTGTTTCATTTATTTTCTCATTTAATACTTATATATTTTGTTTCAAATTATATTTTAATTTTGAAATTTAATTTTGGTTTTTATTTTTTAATATTAATTTGATGGAATTAGGGGCACCCTCTACATTTCAGCTCGTCAATCAAAAGACATTAATATCAAGGCCTACAACCTTTCTTGCTTAGGATGGGACAAGACTAGAAACTCGTTTGTTTTGTTTATTTTCTCATTTAATATTTATATATTTTGTTTCAAATTATATTATAGCCCTGAGCTCCATTCTTTGAAAATAATATATTTTTAAATAGTGTTTTGACATAATTCAACCACACATTATTTAATAAAATAATATTACACGTACATTTAAAATTTTTAATTATTTTTTAACTACACATTTTCCACCAATACACTATTCTAAAATTCATTCAAAAATGGGGCTTAAACAAGGGTTTAATTTTGAAATTTAAATTTCTTTTTTATTTTATAATATTAAACTGACAGAATTAGGGTGCCCTCTACATTTCGACCCGTCAACCTGAAGATGTTAATATCAAGGCCTACAAGTGTTAAATTGATGAATTTTTCTTGTCATCTCTACCTCCTTCACCTCCTCTCTCTCTCTCTCGTACAAAAATAATAATTTTCTTAAAAAAGAAAAAAGAAAAAAAAGAGATTTATATAGAATTACAATTTACCCAACAGTATTTAAATTTAGAGGTGTATTCAATTGAAACTTCTAAAAACTTCTATATACTTTTTTAAATGGGCGACTTTTATGGAATTTTAAGTGAATTTTATGAATTTGTTAAGAATTAATAAAAATCTTTCATGAATTTCTATAGACTTTGATTAAAAAATTTTAAGAACTTTCAAATACTTTTTATCTTTCATATCTATTATATACCTGAAAAATTACAATCTTCCTAATTACTTAATTTACTTTTTCGAGAACCATGATATCTACAAAATTTTCTTGGATAAAGTCACTTGTCACATCTTAGTGATTCAATTTTAGTGAAATAAAATAATAAAAAAAACCCTTACATCAATTTCTAAGAATATAACTAAAAAAAGTTTCATGAAATTAACATAAATTTTAAGAACACAAATTGTTCTTAACCAAAATAAAAAAATATAATAAATAAATCGATTATATGGAATTCTACATTTTGAATAAATTACAAATAATTTCAATTCAAAAGTAAATTGATTACAGCAAAAAAAATTAAAGAGATATGAGAAAATCCTAGAATTGGAAAAAAAAAAATGACGTTCTCTATTTTTGGCTCCTAAATCTTCACAAATCTCATAGTATAAGGTAGGTTTTCTGTGAATTTTGCTATTTATATTTTTCACCAAAAAGTTTTCAAAAATCCAATAAGTAGAAAATTCTCTAAAATGTGCTGTCTATTTTAATATATCATGACTTATAAAAGATTTCTAAAAAGTTTCAATTAAATACCCCGTAATTTTTAGAGACTTTTTAAAAGTATATATAAGTCCCAATTGAATATACTTAAATTTTTTAAATCCTACAAAATCTTTAAATGTCTCAAATGAATACTCTCTCTTAATCTTCACGTGATGAGATAATTCCAAAATTGGACAAAAGGAGATGGCTTTCATCATCTCCACAATTGGAATTTTTAAGAAGACAGCCATTTTCCAATCAACTTTTAGCTGTGCACCTAAACTTATGGACAGAGAATTGTTTTGTGCTGTCAACAAAAAAGATTAGGGAGAAGGTTGCAACCAAGTTAATAGGATGGAAACGGGTTGTATAATTTTGTCTAATGAATCTGAGAAGGACCAAAATAAGATGGCATCAATAACTTAGGGATAAAACTATAATTTTTTGTACGGTTTTTTAATCTTAGAATTATTAATTTTGATTTTGTGCGGCATAGATAGAGAGGGGGAGAGCTTTCAGAGAGGGAGCGACCAATGGATGGCGACGTCGAGATGGCGGCAGCAGACGACGGATCTGCCGTTGTAATATTTCTCTTTATCACTCTGTCTCTCAATTTTCTTTTTCTGGGATTTAATTTTTTCCGATTTATTTTCGCTATCCTGTAAAAACCCTAAATTTTATACATATATATATGAGCGTGTATATATGTATCTGTGGGCACTGCTCAGGAGCTAGATGATATGAAGAAGAGGCTTAAGGAGATGGAGGACGAAGCGGCCGCTCTCCGGGAAATGCAATCTAAAGTTGAGCATGAAATGGGCGCCGTTCAAGGTTACTCCCAATTTTTAGATGCTCCTGTATTCACCCATGCACAAATTTCTTGTTCCTATATGTCTTTTTTGAATTAAAATTATTATGTGTAATTCTTTTTCAGTTGTCGATTAGAAAAGAATGCATCTTCATGGCAATAAGAGGGGTGCAGCATAATGTAATGTACATGGAAAATGCGAAAAGCGAATGTAGTTTAACATTTTAATTTAGATTTTAGATTTATATCCATTCTGGATTGAATCTTGGAATGGCTCCATTTAAGACTAATTTTATTTCTTCAAATAGAGGGACAAAAAAGAAAAAAATATAAAAACATAAAAAAAAAAAAACTTTACCATGTTAGAGAAATTTGACAACTGGATGATTAGTCTACAAGGGCTCAACAAGGAGTATCAAATTCGAAGCAAGTGAATGAACTTACCCTTTTGAGAGTTGAAACATTGAATTGATGCCGAATTTACCTTGCAAGACAAAGGTTGTTTAAGCCTTTTGTTATGATGGAAGCAAGGAAGGGGGAAATCAGTTGAATTGGGGAAGGAAGGGTCAGAGTAGTGCCAGAGCAAGGAAGAAGAAAGAAGAAGGAACTACAACGGCTAACTGAACTTCAAATTCAGTACGGTGTCATTTTGTGTTGAGAATTAATTGTAATAAGCCAAGTGCGTTTTATATAATGCGTGTTTCCAAAAAAAAAATAAAAATTGCTGTTCTGTTATAACGACAGGAGGAGGAGGGAAAGTCATAACCAATTTTTTCGGAACATCTTGTCTCTGAATTTTCTCTCCTCTCTTTCCGTTTCTTTTCTGTTTAATTGTTTTCTTCTCCGTAATTGCATTCTGAAATTCTAATTGAAGATTGGGTGCTGAGAACTTCCATTGAAATCTAATTATGTTGTTCATATTTACGCGTTTGGTCGAGAATTTCAGCTCACCCATTACAAATTGGTATCAGAGCAGCAACGGATCTGGGAATGGCCGAAACTCGAAATAAGTTGAATGAAGAACACCTTAAGAGGTTAGATAAGGAATTAGCAGATTTGGGACTGGTTTTCAAATCCAATGATCAATTGCTGCAAGCCATTTGCACTAGGCAGGATGAGATGGAACAGATAATGGGAGAGATGAAGGCTACCCAAGAATTGATGGTGCTAATGTTAGTCCAACTGGCTGGTAATATGGCTGATTACAAGGAGAAAATAGGTAGAAGGGTATGGGTCATCATCTCTGACCAGTGGGGGCAGTCTTAAGGGAAATGAAATCCACTTTGGTAATTCCAGTAGAAACAAGGAGATGAGGATGGCTACCAAATTTTCAAAGATAGATTTTCCTTATTTTAGTGGAGAAGGGTCATTGGAGTGGCTAAGGAAACTTTCAGATTCATTAGGTGGAGGATGTGTTAAGAGTGGGAATTGCAAAGATGTATCTAAAAGGGAAGGCAGACATTTGGTTTCATGATTCCATCTCCAGCCACCCAACTGCTAATTGGGATGCGTTTGCTAAGGAGATTTGCAGGAGATTTGCGGAGAATACAGCTGAGGAAGTAGTAGAAACGTTCGGTAAATTAAGGCAGAAAGGGACCTTTATGGAATATCAGGAACAATTTGAAGGGTTGAAATCCCAGGTAATGGTGTCCTTACCTCACTTAACTGAGTCATATTATATTTCAATCTTTACCAGTGGCCTGAAAGACAAGATCAAATCCATGGCGAAGATGATTCAACCCTATACCCTTGCCAAAGCTTTTGAGATCGCCCTCTTACAGGAGAATACCATACCAGCTTTGAACAAAGGACCCAAATCCTTCAAACCACACCCCTACTCTAAATGGACCAATCCAAGTCCTAACCCCAAGCCAAATGAAGCTACAAATAAACCTAACACCTATTCAAAACCTACCTCTAGAAACTCCAATAACTCTCTTAAAGCCATTTTTCAAACTAAAAGGGAACTAGGGTTGTGTTACAAATGTGAGAAAAAGTATACTAAAGGCATGCATGTAGGAATGAAATGCTCAATTTCATACTAGTAGATGATGAAGGTGACGGGGAAGTAGATGAACCACTAGATGGATGGAAGAACAGATAAGTTAGGAAGTGGGGGATGAAGTGATGCAGATATCCATCTATGCATTAGTAGGCAGCCCTGTGGTGAAGACAATTAGACTCCCTGGCATGATTAAAAGAAGAAAGGTGTCTATATTAATTTATAGTGGGAGTACCCACAGTTTCATAGACGAACATTTGGCACAATTGATCAACTGTAAGGTGCAAAAAGCAAAACCCAGTTACTGTGGCGAGAGGTGGGAAACTGGTCAGTTAAGTGGTGTGTAATCCATTAATCTGGGGGATGCAGGATTCAGAATTTCAGTTTTAGCTGAGGGTGCTTAAGTTGGGAGGAAGTGATATGGTTCTTGGAGTAGATTGGCTAAGCCAATTTAGCCCTGTATTGTTTGATTTTGTTAAAGGAAGTATAACTTCCACTCATAAGGGTACAAAAATTAAGCTCCATAATGAAGCCATCAGAGAAGAATTCCAGGTGATGATTGGTAATGGAAAGAAGGGTGAGTTCAAGAAGCAACCTTATGGTATAGTGGCTCAGATCTCTTCCATTGCTGAGAGAGAACAGAAACCCATGCCAGCTGAACTTAAAGCAGTAGTGAGCCCTAAGGTTTTCCTGAAACCCAAAGGATTACCACCCACACGGTTTAGTGATCATCATATACCATTGAAAGAGGGTGCACAACCGTTTAAAACCAGGCCTTATAGGTGCCCCTATGTTCAGAAAGGGGAGATTGAAAGGATGGTGAAGGAAATGAAGGAAAATGGAATCATAAGGGCCAACAATATCCCCTATGCATCTCCGATCTTGCTAGTGAAGATGGCACATGGAGGTTTTGCGTGGGCTATAGACAGTTGAATAGTCTCACCATTAAGGATAAGTACCCCATGCCAGTCATAGATGAATTACTGGATGAACTAAAGGGGGCAAGATGGTTTACAAAAATCGATTTGAGGGTTGGATATCACCAAATTAGGGTAGCTGAAGAAGATACCCATAAAACAACTTTCAAAACACATGAAGGCTTGTATGAATTCAGGGTAATGCCATTTGGGCTTACCAATGTTCTTGCAACCTTTCAATGCTTGATGAATGAAATATTCAAGCAGTACCTCAGGAAATTTGTTTTGGTATTCTTTGATGACGTACTCGTTTATAGCCAAGACTTGAAATATGATTGTGAACATGTCAAGGTGGTCCTGGAGCTCCTCAAACACCATTAGCTCTTTGCTAAAGAGAGTAAATGTTCCTTCGGGCAGTCTAAAATAGAGTACTTATGTCACATCATTTCTGCAGTAGCAGCAACTAACTCTTCAAAAATTGTAGCAATGCAGGAGTGGCCTAAACCAACTGACATCAAACAATTAAGGGGATTTCTAGTCCTAATTGATTACTATAGGAGGTTTGTAAAAGGATATGGGGCCATTGCCAAACCCTTGACTGAATTGCTGAAGAAAGATTACTTTGATCGGAGTGAGGCTGCTGATGTGGCTTTCCAGGAATTAAAAAGGGCTATGAGTACCACTCTCGTATTAGCATTGCCAGACTTCTCCATACCTTTCAAAATCGAAACTCATGCATGTTATGGAGGGATTGGGGCTATCCTAATGCAGAATAAGAGGCCCTTAGCATACCTAAGTAAAGGCATAGACAACAGGAAGTTGGGCCTGTCCATATATGAAAAAGAGCTATTGGCCTTGGTCATTGCAGTAAGTGGTGACACTACTTGGAAGGCCACCACTTCATAATTAAAACAGACCACCAATCGCTCAAATACCTGCTGGAGCAAAGAATTACCCCACTACAACATAAATGGTTGTCCAAATTATTGGGTCTCAGCTATGAAATACACTACAAACAGGGAGTGGAAAATCAGGTGGTTGATGCTCTATCTAGATGGGGGAAAAATTTCAGTGTGCATGGCAATTACCGATGAGGAAGGTGATGACAAGCTACAAAGGAGATAGGGAAGCTGAGGCTAAAATTACAGCTTTGCTGCTTGATAGCAACTCTGAACCGGACTACCACTACTTGAATGGGCTACTTAAGTATAAAACCAGACTTTACATCGGCTCAGGTGGTGACATCAAGAAGAAGCTGGTAGCTACTATACATTCCTCACAGGAAGGGGGTCACTCTGAAGTACAGGCTAGTATCCATAAGGCTAAGCAATATTTTTTTTGGCCAGGGATGAACAAGGACATCAAAAAGGAGGCATTGGATTGTGACACCTGCCAAAGATGCAAAGGGTGACATTTAGCCTACCGGAGATTATTGCAACCTCTTATCAACTTCACAGTATGCTTGGAGTCACATTTCCATGGACTTTATTAAAGGTTTGCCTACTTCAAGGGGTAAGAATGTGATCTTGGTTGTAGTAGACAGATTCACTAAGTATGCACATTTCCTACCGTTATCCCACCCATTCTCAGCCCTAGCTATCGCCAAATTATTATTAGATAACATCCACGAGTTCCACGCGTTGTGTCGAAGTATTGTTACCAATAGATATAAAGTGTTCACAAGTAAGTTCTGGCAGGAACTGTTTAAATTCTTGGGAGTCAGAGTACAGCTAAGTTCAGCATACCACCTGCAAACCGATTAGGGGTGTAAGCGGTCCGGTTTTACCGATTTTTGACAAATTTTCAAATCAAACCATTTAAAACGGTTTGAGAAAAACCCAAACCCAAACCAAACTATTTTGAACGGTTTGAAAAAAACTCAAACCTAAACCTAACGGTTTGGTCCGGTTTTAAATCGCCGATTTTGCTATATATTTTTGTCCGTCTACTTTTATGTCATTAATTCATTGAATTTAATATATATTTATATCTCACTAGTAATAAATCTAAAACAAATTAAGCCCCTGTTTGAACCAAATTTTTGGGACAAAAAAATGAAAATTTGGATTGTTATTCCACAAGTCCAGCCGCCTTTGTTGACTTGCTATTTCATGTGTGGGACCCAACCTGCTCTCCAATAGTCAATTTTCTCATTATGATGATATGGAAAATATGGCTCAAACAGAGGCTAAATATATTTACTATAAATTTAAATATTAATTATATCAAAGTGAAATCACAATAAATTAAAACATAGTTTTTTTTCATTTTTGTTCACATTTTTTAGGTTAATGACGATACAATAATGTTACAATACAAGTCTACTAAACTAGATATAAGGTCCAAAAAACATAACGATGTCCAACAAGATCTCGTGATCATCATATCTGAAAAAAAAGATATTGATTAAACAAAGAGAGTAACCAACTACAATAATAAAGTAATTGTTTATAATATCTAAACATAACAATTACACAAGTTTACGTTTGTATGATGTTACGAAATACATTTAATTTCAAATTCTTACCTTAGTTTGCTCCAAAAAATTATTGATCTGAAACTTTATTTGAAACAAATATTATCACCGAAGGTCTAGGATCTCTTTGTCTCCAATTTGGTAGAATGGACTTCAATTCGACTTTGAAGAGGCGTGAAAAATCTGAAAAGAAGTGTGTGGTGCCGGTGGCTCAAAACTGTATTGGGTGTCGACTAGAGTTTATTTAAATTTTGAAGAGGAAAAAGACTTTTGATAGATTATGTTAGTCTTAAAATAATAATAATAATAATAATAATAATAATAATAATAATAATAATAATAATAATATATCTGTATTAGAAAATTAGGAATTGGCAAAAATACCTACAAATGACAAAACTATTGAATTTTACATATTTGGATGAATTTTCAAAAAATTTCATCTTTTTATTTTTTTATTTTTATATATTTTTCCACCGGTCCGGTTTGGTTTTAAATCGCAAATAAAATTCTCAAACCTAAACCAAACCATTTTGACCAGTTCAGTTTGGGTCAAAACCATTTCGTTGACCGGGTCCACGTGGCACCAAACCGACGGTTTCTAAAATGCGGTTTTGGTTCGGTTTTGCGATTTTTGCTTACAGTCCTAAAACCGATGGACAAATCGAAAGGTTAAATCAGTGCCTCGAGATGTATCTGCGATGCATGGTATACAAGCAGCCTAGACAATGGAGTAAATGGCTTAGCATTGCTAAATGGTGGTATAACACCACCCTGCACACTACCATTAAAATGACACCATTTGAAGCCTTATATGGGTATCAAACCTCCTCAGCTGACCCTTGGGCCTTACCAACGGATTTTCAATACTTCAGTGGAAGAGGTGCTACAGGACAGATATGAGATGGATAGAGTTCTGAAGGAGAATCTAACTCAGGCCAGTGCTAGGATGAAGTTTTATGCAGATAAGAACAGGAGTGAAAGGGAATCTCAAATAGGAGATTGGGTGTACGTGAAACTACACCCTTATGCTCAACAAACTGTAGCCAAGAGATCCAACAAGAAACTTTCTGCGAAGTACTATGGACCCTACAAAGTGATCCAGAGATTGGGGAAGGTGGCTTACAAACTGAAATTACCTTCTGCAGCCTAGATTTATTGTGTCTTTCGTGTATCGTTACTTAAGAAAAGAGTTGGGGAGAAGGAAGTTGCATCTGTAACACTACCAACCTTTCAACCTTGGGGACAAGGTCTTTCGAAGGGGGAGGGATGTTATGATGGAAGCAAGGAAGGGGGAAATCAGTTGAATTGGGGAAGGAAGGGACAGAGAAGTGCTAGAGCAAGGAAGAAGAAGGAACTACAACAGCTAACTGAACTTCAAATTCAGCATGGTGTCGTTTTGTATTGAGAATTAATTGTAATGGGCTAAGTGCGTTTTATATAAAGAGTGTTAAAACCAGATTGTTATTCTGTTATAACGACACGAGGAGGAAAAGTCAGAACCAACTTTTTGGGAACATCTCGTCTTTGAATTCCCTCTCCTCTTTTTCTGTTTCTTTTCTGTTTAATTGTTTTCTTCTCTATAATTGCATTCTGAAATTCTAATTGAAGACTGAGTGTTGAGAACTTCCATTGGAATCTAATTGTGTTGGTGATATTTACGCGTTTTGGTTGAGAATTTCAGCTCACCCATTACACCTTTTTAGATGTGATTGAGATCGCAATACAAAAATAATTTATTTATATTTTATTGGTTAATTTAAGAAGTAAATATGGTATATTTTCTTGTGGTAATTGTTAATTTTCAAATTAGAAAGGTTTTCTATTCTCGTTAGGATTTTTGCATATAAATAAGACTAGTATCATTGACCACTCAGTGTTAATGAAATTTTATCTCTAATTGTGTTTATTTATTTCAAATTCCCATAATCTTTGAATTCTCTCTCTTTTTCTTGTTTTCATTTGTGGTTCTGGATCAAGATGTCATATAGTGATCCTATGTGTTTCAACCTGCTGATTACGGTCTCATTTTGTTCTCATTGTTATTATTAATATTCTCGATATATTGTTCTCACCAAGTATTAGTTTCTGAATTTGAGTGGGTTTTCTGCCAAATTGTGTATTTGTGTGATAAATATCTTGGACCTGTTTTTACTACCTAATTGTTGTGTCAGTATTATTTCCTACCATTTTCCTTTGTTTGGACGTATCTTGCTGCATAATGCTTTAGATTTTTTATTTTCTTTGGCTTTGGCGGTGGGTGGGCTGTGAGAGGATCTGATGATTAAGGATTACTTTTGCGGATCAATGTGTAATCAATTTTAACTGCTACATCTTATATTTGTTGGTGCCTTTTGTTTGAGATCACGTTTCCAGTACTTGTTGGCAGAGACTGCTCGATTACATCTGTTAGTGAGCTTCACCACAATATGCTGAATTGATCATGCCTCTGGCAGTGTGGACCTTGAGACCTTGACTGGTCCAAATACTTAAGGACTTATTTTTCCTTTATATCCTTTATATGAGCATCGCATTGTATAATAGTGTTATATAATTAAATTCGAGATAACAACGAGGATTGATGAAGTCTTTAACTTCTATGAGTAGTATGATGCCCTTGTCTAAATGACAGCATTTCCATGATAATTGATAACATCATTGTCATCAATAGATACCATTTTGTATTACTTTCCTTGTCAATTCCTTTTTGATTTAAGTATTTCCTTTATTTCAACCAGATCCTGCTGCTGCTGCAGCTAATCAGGCAAATAAGGAAGAAGTAGATTCTCGTTCAGTCTTTGTTGGCAATGTAAGGCTTCTGCATCAACAAGTTGAAGTTGTTTAAGAGAACTCTATATTTAGTCCTTAGTAACTTTAACTGCTGTTATAATCTTGGCCCCTTTCTATTAGGTCTGCTTTGTGTAGAAGAACTGTTCATTTTGTCCTTTTCTGGAACAAGTTAGTTTACTTTTATATCAATTTGGGCCTTAAAAATTGTTTCTAGCAGATATATGCTGATTATGATGTACGCAAATTAGTGAGCTGCTCTGTGTTTTATTCTAATGCCACCTTATTTATGCTTGCCTGCTGAGTTGGACAATCTATTCTTCTTCCATTATAGCAATAATAAGATGGGTTTTGTGTCTCCATACTCCATTTATTATCTATGTATGAATCTGTGAGATGAACCATAGAAGTTGGCTCTCTGCGAGCATGCCCCATGTTTCTGTCTCCTAGCATTTACTTTTCAGTTTTTACTGTTTTGCTTACAATTTTATGTTAGTAGAATTCTGTCTCTTTTTGCTTCAAGATTGAGGCTGCTTATGTTAATTTCTTTGACTTGGATACTCCTTATTATTCCTATATATGGGATCAAAAGTCCTTTCTTTCTGAAATATTATTTTTTACATTTTTCCATTTATGTTTCCTGTCATTAATAAAATGTTGCTGATTCCATTATTTTAGCAAACATTGGTTTCAATTTCTCATAATGCTGACATAATTGCTTCAGAAGTTGGTTTATTTCCCCCCTATACTCAATTTGTTGTTTTCTGACACAACTGATGAGTGCCAAGGTTGCCTCACACATATTTTTCCTTTCAACTTACTTCAGCTTTAATGTTGTTAAATACCTTTACATGCATTCAGTAGATACATCCCAGCACAATCTAGTGTTCCTTTTCCCGACCCTTTTGGGGTAGCTTCTTTTGGACAATGAAACTTGCTTTGTAGGTGGATTATTCATGTACACCAGAGGAAGTGCAGCAGCATTTCCAGTCATGTGGGACTGTTAATAGAGTAACTATTCGGACTAACAAGTATGGGCAACCAAAGGGTTATGCGTACGTGGAGTTTCTTGAGGCAGAAGCTGTTGAACAGGCTACTCTTCTGAACGAATCTGAGCTTCATGGTCGCCAATTGAAGGTTAGCTACATCGCATATATTTGTTTGCTGCATTTACCAACCATGTGAATAAGGATACTGAAGCTTGTGATTGTGGAAGTTTAATGGTCATTCCATTCTCCTATTGTTGAATTTCTTTAAGTATTGTTCCAGGTGTCGGCCAAGAGGACCAACATTCCTGGCATGAAGCAGTTTCGCCCACGGCGTGCCAACCCCCAAGCGGGTTATCGCTCCAGGACACCATACATGCCTGCTCCAATTTTTTATTCACCATATGGATATGGGTACGAGTCATCATCCTCTGGATTTTTTATTATAAAATGACTGGTTCTATAATTATAAGGTTAGGAGGGTTGGGACCCTATTCAAGTCATTTTTCTGCTCCCTCAGCCATAGGCATTCCTTACCAGCGAAGTAATGATCATCGCTTAAGACGCATAAGCATGACCCTCTGTTTTTTTCACCCAACAAGTTAAAAATCTACAGAGGAAGGGATAAATTGAATTCATATCTTATCTGAGCTTGATGTAAGAAGAAACACAACTAAATAAGCTAAAATAACTAAATGGTTTCACACATTATGAAAAATCTAAGGAAAATTTGGTGCTGAAACACACCAAATTAAATCTGTCAACAATTAAAAATTGTGTAGGGAGAATAGAACACAGGTCAGTAAGCTATTCAGAACTTTGATTTTAGAAGATTAGAAAAAATAATTTCTAGCTTAAAAGTGAAAAGAAAAAACTAAAGAGGCTCTCAAATAATAATAAGGGTAATTAGTACATAATGTCTTTATCTTTCACAATCATTATGGAAAATGTTCTTACCTTTCATTTTTTTGGCATTTTGAAATTAGCACATGATGTCCCTACCTGTCACTATCATTGTAAAAAATTTCATACCTTTCATTTTTAGTATTTTCGCACTTAATTACATCTTTGATTGCGCAAACCATCATTGCTATCCATTATCATCAAATTTCTCAATTAAAAGCTCTAAAATAATTCATATACCCTCCTATTCAAATTAAAAAATAAAGAAAATTAAAGAATTTTTTTTTTAATTTTTAATAATTTATTTAGGACTTGTTTGCTCTCTTTTTTTTTTTTTAAAAAAAAAATAATTTCTATTTTTTAATAATTTATTTGGGATTCGTTTACTCTTTTAAAAAAAATTGGGACTATGGTTGCAATTAATTTTTTATTTTTTATTTAAATAGAGGGTATATTCATCGTTTCACAGCTTTTTATTGGGAAATAAGATGAAAATGGATAGAGGGGATGGTTTGCGCAATCAAATGTGTAATTAAGGGTGAAAATGCTAAAAAATGAAAGGTAGGGACTTTTTTATAATAATAGTGGAAGATTGGGACATAATTACTAATTACTCTTTTACTAATTTATTTGGGACTCGTTTGCACTTTTTAAAAAAAATTGGGATTATGGTTGCAATTAGTTTCTTTCTTTTCTTTTGTTTTATTTAAATGGAAGGGTATATTCGTCATTTCACATATTTTAATTGAGAAAATGTATGAAAATAAACTTTTGCACAATGAAAGGTGAAAATGCCAAAAATGAAAGGGAAAGACGTGCTACTAGTTACCCATAATAAAAATTCTGAGTAAGCAAGGACTTCATTCCAAACTGGCCCTAATGTGATTTTTAAAATCGATGGCTGCCTGTTCGACTCACTCACACTATTGCCGCAGAAAATTGAAGGAAAAAGGGTCCGTGAAGTGGGGTAGAGGGATGAGCAGATGACTGCTCTTGGGGAGAGAGGGAGATAGTTCTATTTGAAATTTTTAAGAGAAGAAGGGAGAAACCGTGGCTTAAAGCGTACTTCGGCATTATTTCATGGAAAATTACTTGTCACAAATGTGTCTTTTGCATTGCAGGAAGGTTCCCAGGTTCAGGATGCCTACGCGATACAGCCCGTACTTCTAAGCCTCAAGACTTTGATTGATGTGCCTGCTCTAGGAGTATGTAGTCGATCCTTGAATACCTCCGTCTTTCTGTCTGTATGACTTGCGCATAAACTAATGGATTGAAGATTGTAGTGATCATTTCTGACCTTGTTTTTATTTATGTTTTTAGGAGCTGCTTGTTCGGCTAGTAATTTGTCCTATATCCACAGCTGAATGATGGGATGTATGTGAAGTGAAATTGTACGTGAGATCTAATATTAAACAATCAAAATCAAGTTTGCTGAAAGTTGGATAATTTCAATTAGAAAAGAGATACACATTTTCGCGTCACTCTCATTTCATGTATTAGGTTAATTGAATGACACGGGCATTATTATTATGAAGAAAAAGGATAAATTTTCATTGTACGGTCTAGTCCAATGCTGTGCCAAATGGACTCAATATTCTCTGTTTGTTTTTAGCGATAACGAGATGCAGAAAGAGTGTTCATTGTAATCTTGAATGTGCTCTGAGTCCTTATTTCCCCTATCTTTTCATTTCTTTCAATTATCATTCATGCTCCAAACTTCTTTTTAAGTCGTCTCTTTAAATCTATTACTAGCTATTGGAATTACCCCCCTCAAATTAGCTCATTCCTTTAACAAGAACAAGTATTAGATGGAAAAAATATACCCAGAACGATGAGTCTTTTCGTCCTTTTCTACAGTTCTTTAAAATTTTAATTTTTTAAATTTATAGATGTTCTTCAAATGGTAGAATATGCTATTTAAAAATAGAAATTTTCTTGAAGATGTTCTAACCTAACAATATTAGTTAATTAAACTAATTCGTGATTAAATATATTTTGATTTGTTGTTATGCTACAAAACTGTAGATTTGGGAGACTTTGCGGTGGCATATACCAACAAGGCAACAACAGTACTTGCTTAAAGCCGAAGGCATAATCAATTTTTGCACAAATCAACATCCCGCCCCCCCAATACTCTTTTCAACGAAAGCGTTTCCTACAACTTGCCCTTAATGTGCATGCATGTTTTGAACACGCTTCTCATTGTGGACAATTTATAAGATAATCCGAGGACATCTATGATTAAGTTCTAAATCTTGATGCAGACAAACGAATTTTTATTCTACATTTTCGAGTTATATATCTGTGTTTAATTTTGGTCATTCTCTCCTTCTCGAAAAATATAGAAGAAAGGGCCGAAGGGGTCTGGACCCCAATATCTGCCATAAAAGGGCCAAACCATAACTACAACCTGACAGTATAATCGTCAATATTTTAATCACTTTAATTCTGTGCTATTCTTCATGTCAAACATATCATAAGGATGTTGAAGATACATATATAGGACAACAACAAATTAAGTTTTAAAATTTAGATTGGACATTTTTCGGACAAATATGGCGGATATGCCGATGTTAAGTTGAATGTGTGTCATCCAATAAAAATGAGAATTACCCTCACAGAGAGAGAGAGGGAGAGAGTACATGCTGATAAATGGAGACGGGAATAACTATGGATGGATTAAGAACATTCCAATACAAATGAAAATTACCCTGCGTGTGTGTGTGTGTGTGTGTGTGTGTGTGAGAGAGAGAGAGAGAGAGAGAGAGAGAGAGAGAGAGAGAGAGAGAGAGAGAGAGCACATGCTAACAAATGGAGATGGGAATAACTAAAAGGGCCGAAGGGGTCTGGACCCCAATATCTGCCATAAAAGGGCCAAACCATAACTACAACCTGACAGTATAATCGTCAATATTTTAATCACTTTAATTCTGTGCTATTCTTCATGTCAAACATATCATAAGGATGTTGAAGATACATATATAGGACAACAACAAATTAAGTTTTAAAATTTAGATTGGACATTTTTCGGACAAATATGGCGGATATGCCGATGTTAAGTTGAATGTGTGTCATCCAATAAAAATGAGAATTACCCTCACAGAGAGAGAGAGGGAGAGAGTACATGCTGATAAATGGAGACGGGAATAACTATGGATGGATTAAGAACATTCCAATACAAATGAAAATTACCCTGCGTGTGTGTGTGTGTGTGTGTGTGTGTGTGAGAGAGAGAGAGAGAGAGAGAGAGAGAGAGAGAGAGAGAGAGAGAGAGAGAGAGAGCACATGCTAACAAATGGAGATGGGAATAACTAAGGATAGATTAAGAACACGATATCATTGGCAAAAATTATATGTTTTCCCTGAAATTTCATATCATTAGTAAGTTCAAGTACTTCACCTAATTTTATTAAGAATAAAGTTTACTTGTTTTGTTGTCCCCATGGGCATGGCACAAAGATAAAGTATGAGGGTTCTCTATAGAGCATCGGGAGTACGAATCTTGCGACAGTTTGAATGCAACGTTTATGTTGAAAGGCAAATGTCTTGTGGAAACTAAGTTACGGTGCGTTTTGTTGTTCCTCCGGGAGTCCTGTCCGTACATTGTAAAGAAAGGTCTACAAGGAGAAGAATCGCATTCTGAATGTTCGATCCAAGTGTGTATAAACTGTGACCGCACCCGGATTTACTCGGGTAGTGAACTAAGGGGAAGATCATCACTCCTCAAAATTAGTCGGGCGAAACTTGAACACCATAGTCATTTAAAAAAAAAAAAAAATTTAACTTGATTTGTTTTCTTGTCATCTATACGAATAATGCAATCTAGTTTCACTCCTAGTTAGTAATCATACTGTTCAATAAAAATATATGCATTAAATAATGTAATAGTAACCTCACTGTCATACTACATTTTAATTTTATGAAAAAAATACCCATTCAACACTTTCACTTTTACTATCTTTTCCATTATAAATTACACATTACCCTTATTTCAGGTTTTTCAACGAAAAGAGAATTTAAAGTGAATTATAAATTGACCACCCCCATCCTCACCCAACCAACCAACCTACCAAATTTCCAAATCCAAACTCTTCCATAAAAGCATAAACCCCATTCGCGTCTGTATCTTTACTACCATACACGTGCACACATTGATTCCTTCCTCGCTTCCTTGTATTTGTCAAACAAGCGTTGAACATTTGGATGATTGAGGGTCCCACATAGCAGGGAGTAAGCACTTCCTGCCGCTCACACCATGCGCATTGTAGCTAGCTTTGTTGGATATGGTATAAATGTTATTTGTATATGGACAATAATTTTGTACAAGTTTAACAAAACAAAATTATGTTAACTCACAAATGAAGATGGTAGAACCAAGATAAGAAGATCAGGAAAATAAGATGAAATGATCCGAGACAAGTGATAACACTCTTTCCTCAAAAGAAATTTGTCCCGCATCAATGCTAATGGAGTAACCGCAATTGTCTCTCAAAATACAATATATTACTTCCTTGTAGTAAAAGTACTTTCAACTACAAGGCAACAACGAACTTAAATGAATTATTCTCTCTTCAAAGATGATTTCTAATACAAAATTTGGGAGAGTTTTGGCAAGAATTTTGATGCAAGACCCAAGAACATGAATTGGGAAGCCTAAATGACATCAAGGGGATCCAATTTATAGAAGGGGGATTGTAAATGAAGAGACACGTCCCAAAACTCAGCAATCTTCATAAAGGGACGCAATCCTATTTGTTGCTCATCTACTGATGGCTCTTCGCTCGAGCGCTAAAAGCAAAATCCTTGAGTTAGGGTTACAATTACAAAGATTCTTAAGCAGTAGGCTTTAATCACGTTCATTTTGATATGCAACAATTTGATCTCTCAATAAGTCATTTGTAAGCGGATCCGCAATGTTCTCTTTTGATTTCACATAATTTATGGAGATAATACCATTTGAGATCAATTGTTTAGTGGTATTGTGTCTATAACGTATGTATCTAGACTTACCATTATACCCTCTATTTTTTGCCTTTTGAAAAGCCATTTAATTTTCACAATGTATACCTACTGGAGGTACTGAGTTAGGCCAACATTGACTGTCTTCCAAAAGGCTACGAAGTCATTATGCTTCTTCACCTGCTTTATCCAAAACAATAAACCCTGATTCTATCATTGATAGGGCTATAAAAGTCCACTTTTTACTAGACTTCCATGACAAAGCAACCTCACCAATGGTAAATACATAAACCCTAGTAGATTTGGAATCTTTCATGTCAGATATCAAATTCACATCACAATATTCTTCCAATACCTTATGATATTTTGTGAAGTGTAATATAAAGGTTAATGTATGTTTTAAATACCTTAGAACTCTAGTCAAAGCTTTCCAATGATCATAGCTTAGATTACTCACGAATCTATTAAGCTTAGAACTCTAGTAAAATGCTATATTTGTTTGAGTATCGTTCGTAATGTACATTAGATTGCATATAACTTGTGAATACTTTAGTTGTGATACCGGTTCACCCATATTCTTAACTAAGAGTAGATTTCAGTCAATAGAATTTTCACAAAACTTTCATCAAGTACATTAAATCTCTTAAGTACACTTTCAAAGTAAAGAGATTGGGAAAGTACAATTCCCTCAGAAATTCTAGAGATCTTAATCCCTAATATCACATCAGCCACACCCATGTTTTTCTCGTCAAAATATTTTGTTAACAATTCTTGGTATGTATGATTATTTCGTGATTATTAATCATAATCAACATATCGTCTACATACAAACATACAATTACATAGGCTTTTAGTGTATATTTTATTTATACACACTTTTTAATTTTAATAGCATTTGATAATATCGTTTTGTTTAACTTTTGGTACCATTGTTATGAGCTTGTTTCAACCCATATAGGAACTTAACGAGTTTGCAAACCTTTTTTGTTTTTGGATGGAAGTAATGAAGCTTTCACATTGCTCCATGTATATCTCCTCTTCTAAGTCAACATTCGGAAATGTCATTTTTACGTCCATTTGATGAATCTCAAAGTTATGTAATGTTGCAATTGCAATTAACAATATTATCGAAGTAATTCTAGTCACATGTAAGTAGGTATCAAAGAAGATAAGTTCTTCTTTTTTGCCTATATCCTTTGACAACCAATTTAGCATTATATTTATCAATTGACCCATCCGATTTTAATTTTTTTCTTGATAATTCATTTACACCCAAAAAACTTATTTTCGGGTGATAAATCAACCAATTCCCAAGTATGATGGGACCCTCCAATAAGTCTATTGGAATTGGCTCTGTATCAATGGAATCTCATCATTCATACATAACAAATTGGTGTGGTATATGAGGTTGGATAACCGATGCCCCGGTGACTGATGTAGCGCCCAGTTGAGGCTTGGTCGTTTGGATTGCTCCCTGCATACGGCTCACGCCATTCAAGGTGGCCTAGCTTGGCATTCATTCACAAATTTTGTATTATAGAATCTATCTCACTATTGATAATTTCTTTCCATTGTGGTGCTTTCGATCTAGACATTGTCTTATTAATAGCTTCAATTTATTTTCTACCGTGTAATCAGGACCAA